TGGTTTTAGAATAGGCAGAGGAACCAGAGATCAAATTGCCAACATATGCTGGATCATTGAAAAAGAAAGAGAGTTCCAGAAAAACATCTATTTCTGCTTTATTAACTATGCCAAAGCCTTTGACTGTGTGGATCACAATAAATTGTGGAAAATTCTGAAAGAGATAGGAATACCAAGACCACCTGACCTGCCTCTTGAGAAACCTGTATGCAGGTCAGGAAGCAACAGTTAGAACTGGACATGGAACAACAGACTGGTTCCAAATAGTGAAAGGAGTACGTCAAGGCTGTATATTGTCACCCTGCTTATTTAACTTATATGCAGAGTACATCATGAGAAACGCTGGGCTGGAAGAAGCACAAGCTGGAATCAAGATTGCCGGGAGAAATATCAATAACCTCAGATATGCAGATGACACCACCCTTATGGCAGAAAGTGAAGAAGAACTAAAGAGCCTCTTGATGAAAGTGAAAGAGGAGAGTGAAAAAGTTGGCTTAAAGCTCAACATTCAGAAAACTAAGATCATGGCATCTGGTCCCATCACTTCATGGGAAATAGATGGGGAAACAGTGGAAACAGTGTCAGACTTTATTTTTGGGGGCTCCAAAATCACTGCAGATGGTGATTGCAGCCATGAAATTAAAAGACGCTTACTCCTTGGAAGGAAAGTTATGACCAACCTAGACAGCATATTAAAAAGCAGAGACATTACTTTGCCAACAAAGGTCCATCTAGTCAAGGCTATGGTTTTTCCAGTAGTCATGTATGGATGTGAGAGTTGGACTATAAAGAAAGCTGAACACTGAAGCATTGATGCTTTTGAGCTGTGGTGTTGGAGAAGACTCTTGAGAGTACCTTGGACTGCAAGGACATCCAACCAGTCCATCCTAAAGGAGATCCGTCCTGGGTGTTCATTGGAAGGACTGATGTTGAAGCTGAAACTCCAATACTTTGGGCACCTGATGAGCAGAGCTGACTCATTGGAAAAGACCCTGATGCTTGGAAAGATTGAGGGCAGGAGAAGGGGACGACAGAGGATGAGATGGTTGGATGGCATCACTGACTTGATGGACATGGTTTGGGTGAACTCCAGGAGTTGGTGATGGACAGGGAGGCCTGCCTTGCTACAGTTCATGGGGTCGCAAAGAGTCGAACATGACTGAGCAACTGAGCATGAGCACATACAAAGTGCTTAGAACAGTGCCTGGCATACAGTGAGTCCTAAACAAGTGTTATCACCATTATCATCATCACCATAACAATTAAAATATAATTATAGATATGAAAGTGAAAAGTGAAAGTGAAGTCGCTCAGTCGTGTCCGACTCTTTGCGACCCCATGGACTGAAGCCTACCAGGCTCCTCCATTCATGGGAATTTTCCAGGCAAGAATACTGGTTGGGTTTCCATTTCCTTCTCCAGGGGATCTTCCCAACCCAGGGGTCGAACCTGGGTCTCCTGCTTTGTAGGCAGACACTTCTACCATCTAAGAAGCATCTTGAAGGAGGTAGTTTTAAGAATCAAGAAAGAATGATCCTTTTGTGTGATGATTAACTTGGCTTTGGTTAGTTAACTTACTTGATAAGAATATTATTCCAATTTGTCCAAAGTCAAAGGTTTGATTTTTATGTGGATATTCTGGCTACATTCCATGACCACAAATTAAGACACTAATTCTAAGCAGTTCTATTCAATAAATTCTCCAGGTTTTTACAAGGTGACTGGCAAAAAGTGTACATTTATTAATCTAAATTCATGAATAACTTTAGAAAAAAATGAATCAATAAATACATTCTTTTTGAACATAGTTCAGTCATATTGTCTTAATATTATATATTGAGACCATAAATTTGACCATAAATTAAGACCATAAATTTCAGAACTGGAAAAATATTTAAAGATGATCTGGAGCCAAGCCATTAATTTTTATAAGGAAAAAAGACAGTCAGAGACAGAAAGTGACTTAAAATCACATGATTACTCTGTGGCTGAGCTAGAACTCTTAGCTCATATATTGTTTTATTTTTCCACACATATATTCATTAAATACAGGATTTTTAAGATCTCTGAGAACTTTCTAAAATTCTATTTGTCATGATGGTTTATTATTCCATTATAAAGAACTCAGTCCCGGTGACAGAATGTAGATTTTGAAGACCACTGCAAGGACTTTGTTATGAGAAAAAATAAATGCCATTTTCAGGCATTGAGCATGTAAGATTAAAAGACATTACCTGACTTAAATTTTTAAAAGACCCCTTTGCTTTAAGAATAGATGTGGGAAGGGGCAAGGATCAATTCACAGGTTTTTACAAAAACCCAAGGGAGAGATGATGTTGGCTTCGACTAGGATGGTAATAGAAAGAATGGTATTAAGTCATCAAAGTCTGGATATGCTTTGACTGTAGCACAAACAATGTTTCTTTCTGTGTTGGATGTGAAGTGCAAGAGAAAAGAGGAGCCAACGGGGGGCAAAGGAATACAAATCTCCATTCAGGAATTTCTATTACTTTTTTCTTAACTAAATGTATCTTGCTGCAGTCTACAGCATTATTTACTTGTCTTCAGCTCTATGAAAAGAGGTCCATCTCCATCTACACAATGTCTTCTCTGAAATCAGCAGCATCCAGAATTAAACCATGTATTGTGAAAGAAACCAAATAGTGGCTCCAGACCTCAAAGGAGTTTATCATTTGGTAAGTTAAAGCCCCTTATATGGGGAGGAGATATATTTGACAGCATTACAAATGTAGCTAGAAGTTGCAACTTGGTCTTAAACTGGAACCCTTCTGGACATGCCTGCCGAAATTAGGGAACCAAGCTCATCAAATGTCATTGGCATTAGGAACAGGGGAGTATTTGGGTTGGAATTCATCATACAGGAATTGGGAGAATCAAGCTTCTGAAGGCAAGGCTAATTAAGTATGCCATAGTGTTATTTCTTGTCTTTATTGCCAGCTCAGCTCCCCCTGGACTCATATCTGGATTCATATCTCTCCCAAGGAAGGGAGAGAGCTGTGAACAAAGAATGGGAAAAGGCCATTTTCCATCAAATGCTCTAATATATGAGAGTAAAAGCCACTCTGATAGGCCCTCATGGTATACAGCCCAGAAAGTCAGAAACTACTGTGTGTCGTAGCTTTGACATCTCCAAGCTTTACTGGCAGTGACTATTGTACAGCGAAGTATCCTTAGAAGCACAGGTGCTCACTGTGATCACAGGATCTTTGGGATACATCAGTAGAACCCAGAAGAGGTGAGGCAGAGAAAGAGAGGAGCAAAAGAAGTAGATATCCCAGGTAGCTAACCTCATCAGGAGGAAGCACACGGGAGACTCAGAAATACCTATATGGACTCAGTTCCATTATTAGCAGGTAAGCAAGACCCAGAGAGATAAGGGAATGAACTCTTTACACTCCAATTACTCACTACAGAATTTTATATAAACACATTTCATAACCAGGTAGTCTTTATACCCTGCCAAAGCTCACATATTTGCTACATTCTGTTCAAGATCTACAGAATCCAGGTAGTGAGCTTCTCTTTGGAGATATTAAATGAATGAATCCAGCAAAACAGACTTATCTTCTTTTGAAAATGGTAAACATGAGAATTTTTTAGAAAAACCAGCACCCTTCATAAAAGCAGTCACTTTAAAAATCAATTAAAAAATTAAATATCTATGTGCCATCTGCCCTGGTGCATATATTAAGAATGTTATTCCATGTAACATTTCAACAATGCTACTTACATTCTTTTTCACTGATAAAGGAAGTAACATTCCTTCTTTAAACACTCCTTCTTTAGAGATGCCTTCTTAAACAGCTTCACACAACTGCATCATGTCAAAAAAGCCAAAAAGACACTCTGTGGCAGTGTGCCAGCTTCACCCAAATTCAATCATTTTTTTAATCTTGAATTGTACTTTGACCTTGACTTCATAGTTCTTCATGCCTAGAGACCATTTCTTTGTTTCTTTATTCATTTAATTGTATTTCTGTCCTACCTTCTATTTAAGTCTTTGATTGGCTCTGTGCGTCTAGCTCCAGATGATAGTGAGGTTGGTTTTACTAGCATTTCAGTCATGATCACAAGGGCAGGTCAGAAGGGAAAGGTCCTGGGTGAGTGTCCACACCACTGCTGCCCACTTTGCTAGAGAAGGGGGCCAGTGGTGAAGGCACTTTGGCAGGTGAGAAAAGATTGTACTCTAGCCAGAAGAGAAGATGGAGGAGAAAAAGAGATCTGGAAAAAATGAGTGGGACAGAGTCAGAGATCAGTGGAAGCTTTCACTCTGGTACATTTAGTAGGTTCCTTGGAAAAATTTATCAGTTCCGACATGTATTCATATTAGAAGAAGGCAAATTAAACAAGATACCTGTTAGGTCAAAGATCCTATGAAAAATATGATGATACTGAAAATCTATTCCCACACATAGTATAGAAAGAACACAGACTTAGTAACCCACAACTTGCAATTCCAGAAATCACATGCTGACAGCATCACCATTTGCCATCCCATAAACATAAGAGATTATACGACCAAGAGCCAGAGTTTGGCTGCATGTCCACACCCGCATTCAACTAGTCTTTTCCATTTAAGATCTGAATATATATTTCCATCTTCACGACTACCCTTCATCCACCAAGACCTCAATAAGTTATCTATGCTTAGGAATACAAGACAAAAGCATCCCTGTGGTTTGGGGAGGAGGAGAGGTAGAAGCCCAGAAGCAAATGAAAAGAACAATTCATCGGGACAAAACATTCTAGCAACAATTTCCCATTCTCTTCTGAAACAATTCCATCATCTTGTCATCCACTGCTCTGCTCTTCTTTATCATGAAAATGGCAATCGCCCCACTCGCAGTGAGATTCAGGACCAAAGCACATCGCATTGTTTTGGAGTCAGGGAGTCCAGTTTAATGAGAGCAAGTACATGTGTGCCAAAGTGTGTGTGTGAGAGAGAGAGAGAAAGAGAGGGAGAAAGAGATAGAAATTTACCTTCCGATGAGTGAAAACTCGCCCACGACGCCAAGGCGCCGCATGGCGCTCAGGAGGCCCCTGACGGTCATCCCTTCGCAGAAGCACACCACCACTCTGGCCTTGGGAAGCCGCTCTCGGAGCTTGCGCAGGAGTCGGTCAAAACTCTTCTCCCCAGCGTTGCTGTAGATTTTGTCTGAGTGGGCGATGCAGAGGCCTTCCTGGGCGGCCAGCTCTTTGAAAGCATCCATTCCACTCTCCCCATAATTCCCTGTCCAGAAACAACCAGCAGATGTTCAAGACAATCTGAAAAGGACTGCACTCACAAGCTAGAATAAAGACTCATTAGTCCCAGAGAATAGAGAGAACAGACTTGCCAAGTAATTTGAAAATATAACTGGGACTTAAGGAAGATCTGGATGGAGTAAAGAAAAAAATCAAATATAATCAAACTATCAACTCTGAAAGAAACAGAAAATTAACAACTTGGGTGTCCACAGTGAAAATTGTTTTGAGACATAAAAGATGCTGTCCTGTTTTACAGTCATCATCACTAGTGGTTGTTCCAGATTTTAGCGATATGGGAGAGGTCAGCACATTGGGATAGGAGGTCAACCAGCACAGTGAGACGTGTTCAGTTGAGGACTTGCTTCATCTGGCTGCCAGGTTAAGAGCAGACACTCACGCTGATAGCAAGTCCTGCCACGTTTCCATGAAGAGTAAGTCAAGCAAATGGAGCACCTGGCTAGGCTGGAATACACAGATAAAAACCTGCTACAGGGCTCAATCAAAGCTGCTACAGGGATCAATCATAAAATTCTTTCACTTTATCAACATCCTCTGATAAAGTGAAAGAATTATGGGACATTTGGTCTTATGCTTTGATTTTAATATTATTATAAGAAGTTATACTTTAAAAGTAAGAAATAGAAATCAATGAAATAAAACAAGTATCAGGACCTCTTCCCTGGTGGTCCAGTGGTTAAGGATCTGCCTGCCAGTGAAGGGGACACAGGTTTGATCCCTGATCTCAGAAGATTCCACACGCCCCTGGACAGCTAAGCTCCTGCACCACATCGACTGAAGCCCACAAGCCTAGCGCTCCGGCTTCACAGGAGAAGCCACTACAGTAAGAAGCCCAGGCACCGCAGCTAGGGTGGAGCCCATGCTCGTCCTAACTAGAGAAAGCCTGTGCACAACAATGAAGACCTAGTGCAGAAATAAATAAATAACAAAAACCCCACAAAAGACAAATATCACATCATGTCAGTCAGTCCCCCATCTCTCTATTTCATGGATGATTTTAGCCCCCGCCTCCTCTGTACCTCCACTCCTGTCTCCAAGTTTAGGGATTTTGGTACCCATGTAAATGACCCAATATCATATCCTCACATTTTCTCAACCTCCTCTATCCAGTGATATTTCCTGTAACTCAGCTACTTTCATGTTCACATGTTTAACCTTGTATTCACAAATGTTTCTAATATCTCTGAATGTGGATATCCAGCATCCCAGTCTCTGTTTTTGTCCTCATCATTCGAGTGCATATATTTTACTCCCCCATCTCCAGCGATTTTTCAACCTCATATTTTATTTTGTACTCAGCTCAAAGTAACCTGCCAGTTTATACTGATCATAACCCTTGATTTTTTTTTTAATTTTTGTACATTCCCTGAAACTTTTTCCTATTTAATTTTCTCTTCCCCCTAGTTCCATGATAACATCTTGTTCTTAATAAGTCATAATTCATTTATTCAATGATGTAGTCTTAGTATTTAGAATAATTCTAGACACTAAATGCACAGTACAACTACATTTGTTGTAACAACCCAGTAGAGGAAGAGGCAAAAATTATAAATAAGCAATGTAAACAAAATAAGTAAAAGTGGGTAATAGTATATGAAAAAAAATAACCGAATNTTCAAATTTTTTCAAGGTAAATATCACATGTCACATTTATTGCGTAAAATGTAGCGAGAGCTAAGTAAAAGAACTTTAAACAATGATACTATCCATATTGAAATCTCGATATCTATAAAATTTTCATGGACATTGTTGAAACCTAATAAGATTATCCTGTCTTTTTAAAAAGAAAACGTTCTTGCTTCCTGTTCATAATACTAAATTACCAAATTAAAGTTTTTGCCTCTTCTTTTAACTACCTTCAGTGGCTTCATATGGTCCAGTGAAGCCCAAATGGAAGATTGAACACATGGCCAAATCCTCAACTCCCTGGACTTTGGAAGCATATCATGGCTCAGACAAGAGGCACTGACTGATTAAAAAAAAGGGCGGGGGGGAGACTGCAGCTGGCAAGTGAATGGCTGATCTGTCTGCAGCAGAGGGTGCAAGGAAGGAAGTCAGATGCTGCTTACTCACAATAAAGGCAGGTTCCGAAATCTACGAGGCACATAGACATCACCAGCCAACTCTTTCAGCCAAAGGCACTAAAAAGGCATCATAAGATGGTGTTGCAAGGGAAGCAACTCAACTGCTAGGGTCTATCTTTGGACTCCGATCACAGAAAATGGTTTTACTCTTTTATCAAAACACAAGCAGACTAAATGAGCAAGAATATTCTATGCATTCAAATAAGGAAATCCTTGGTTTTCAATCTAGTAAAGGCTTTAGATATACTCTGTCCAAACCCTTCAGGCTACCGCAAGGAAATTGGGCCAAGTAAGATGGCTCACCAACAGTCATGAAGCTTCTTTGTGTTAGAATTGGAACAGTCTACCTTATTCCAAGTTATTGCTTGTTTTTCTTTTATTTTTTTGACAGTTTGAAAGAATTCTCATTGACCGACTTAATAGCAACAAGCAATTAAACATGTATGTTTTTATAATTTTTTAAAAAATGTCGGCATAGTTTATTTACTTCTATGACATACTTGTTTCAATTTCTTTATTCATATTTTCTTGTTTGGAGGGTAGTTATTCACTATACCAATTGATTGAGAGCCGAATATGATGTGACAGACCATATTTAAACTGCTCATTTCTCTTATGAAGGCTTATACAAACTAGCATATTTCTATGAAAGTAATTCTAATATAAGAACAAGAATAATAACTTGCACATTTATAAATCTTTATATTTTAAATTTCACATTCATAAATATTACCTCATGTACTAGTTACATTGATGATAGTACTAGATACAAATACTATACAAAAGAAGAAGAAAATCACCTCTAGGAAACTTCAAATCACATTGCAGTACTTTTATTTAGTAGAATGACATGGCAAACTTGAATGTAAATATTTAACAGAGATGCTGTAGGTTAGGAATCAGGAAAGTCTGCCTAAAGAAAGTGCCTCTTGAAAAAAAAAAACAAAGAAAGTGCCTCTTGTTGGCAAGGATATGGAGAAAAAGGAATCCTTGGACATTGTTGTGTATGCATACTAAGTGGCTTCAGTCTTGTCTAACTCTTTGCAACCACATGAACTATAGCCCACCAGGCTCCTCTGTCCATGGGATTCTCCAGGAAAGAACACTGGAGTGGGTTGCCATGACCTTCTCCATGGGATCTTCCCTATCCAGGGATTGAACCTGGGTCTCCTGCATTGCAGACAGACTTTTTACCATTTGAGTCACCATTGTTGGCAGGGATGTAAATTGGTACAGCAATTATGGAAAACAATATGAAGTTCTCCACAATTTTTAAATGGAACTGCTATATGATCCAGAAATCACTTTGAAAGTGAAAGTTTCTCAGTCGTGTCCAACTCTTTGCAACCCCATGGATTGTAGCCTGTAAGGCTCCTCTATCCATGGAATTCTCCAGGCCAGAATACTGGAGTGGGTAGCCACTCCCTTCTCCAGGGGATCTTGCCAACCCAGGGATCAAACCCAGGTCTCCCACATTGCCAGCAATTTATTTACCATCTGAGCCACCAGGGAACTAATCCCTCTACTAGGGATATAAATAAAGGAAATGAAATGAGTATCTCAAATAGCAAAGATATGGAAATAGCCTAAGTGTCCATTGATGGGTGAATGGATAAAGAAAATGTAATAATATGTTACATACACATGGAGTGGAATATTATTCAAAAACATTAGCCATAAAAATGAAATATAAGCCACAAAATGAAGGTAAGGCCATTATAGTCAAAGTTGTGATTTTTCCAGTAGTCATATATGAATGTGAGAGTTGGACCATAAAGAAAGCTGAGCACAAAAGAATTGATGCTTTCAAACTGTGGTGCTGGAGAAGATACCTAAGAGTCCCTTGGACTGCAAGGAGATCAAACAAGTCAATCCTAAAGGAAATCAACCTTGAATATTTGTTGGAAGGACTCATGCTGAAGCTGAAGTTCTAATCCTTTGGCCACCTGATACAAAGATCCAACTCACTGGAAAAGATCCTGATGCTAGGAAAGATTGAGGGAAGGAGGAGAAGGAAGTGATGGTTGGATGTTTGGATGGCATCACTGACTCAATGGACATGAGTTTGCACATACTCTAGGATATAGTAAAGGACAGGGAAGCCTGGCATGCTGTAGTTCATGGGGTAACAAAGATTTGGACACAACTTAGTGACTGAACAACAAAGGCCACCATTTGCAATAACACTGGTGAACTTAGAGGACATTGTGTTAAGTGAAATAAGCTAGACATAGAAAGACAAATACTGTATGATCTCTTTTATATGTGAAATCTAAAAAAGTCAAGTTCAGAGAGCCAGAGTAGATGAGTGGTTACCAGAAGTAAGTGAATGGAGAAACTGGGAAGATGTTGGTCAAGAATGGAAAATTTCAGTTATGAGTAAATTCTGGGGATCTAATGTACAACATGGTGACTATACAACATGTTGTACTATAATGTACAACAGTTCAGTCGCTCAGTCATGTCTGACTCTTTGCAACCCCATGAATCACAGCATGCCAGGCCTCCCTGCCCATCATCAACTCCCAGAGTCCACCCAAACTCATGTCCATCGAGTCAGTGATGCCATCCAACCATCTCATCCTCTGTCGTCCCCTTCTCTTCCTGTCCCCAATCCCTCCCAGCGTTAGGTCTTTTCCAGTGAGTCAACTCTTTGCATGCAGTGGCCAAAGTATTGGAGTTTCAGCTTCAGCATCAGTCCTTCCAAT